GGTTTCAAATAACGTTTACGCAGCCTTTTGTCTGAGTACAGTTAAACACCCATAAACCTTTCCGCTGAGATACAGTTTGGAATTGCGAAGAGGGACTCACCAAAATGGAGAGTTCTACTCTACCTGCATGAGGGTATCCCTGTGGGAGCCAATGGCACTGCTATCCTACATTTTATATAAACTGCTGGCACGTGATCGTACATATGGGATAACCAAGTAGACTGGGGCTATATATGACAACACGTGTCACCTCGTCATTGTCCTGGTTACCTTTGGAAGACATGAAAATCTAACAGGAAGTTGATAACGTGTTGTTAGTACCACACACAATGTCCATGGTATCACGATATGCCTCTAACGTTAATCTGACTAGAAAGCCTGTCAACGGTCAGAAGAAACGGACTTCAAAGGTAAGACTTTAGAAAACAGTATAAATTTTATATCAATTTCATATCAAATGATATAGAATTGATATAAAATAAAATATTTTTCTCTTCCTTTCTTTCTATCCTATCATCTCATCTTTTCCTCCTTTTGACAAAATGATTTAAACTTACAATTGTACATCTACGAATTACTTATCTTCATATTTATAGTATAGATATGGGTCACGTGCCGTATATATTAATTATTTGTAATTCAATTTATGGAGAAGAGTTCATAAGTTGCTAGAACTTGTCTCTGATCCACTTATCTAATACTTATACTAAACTATGTTTAAATTAAAGGTAAGATCTTAAGAATATATACTTTTTGTCTTTCTCTACCAACATCATCAGTCGAAGCCGCTTATCTATTGTACGTCGTTTCATCAAGAATCTCCACTCCAAATACATGTCTAAATTATAGTGAAATTATGTCAAAATCAAAGAAAAAATATACAGAGGACGAAATAATAAAAAAAATGATCGAATTTCTGGTTGACAACATCATCGTCGAGTTTGGTGCTATGTAAGATATTCCAACAGACCATTGACATATCTATGGGAAACGACTGCACCCTTCTGTTGGCTGACTTGTTTTTGTTTTCATAAGATAATTTATTGAAGAACTTATCAAAACAGGTCAAAAATACCTTTCAAAGTCGACTGATTTCACCTTCAGATATATTGACACCGTCTTGTTTTTAAGTAACAATAAAATGATTAACTACGTCCATCGTGTATATCCACCAGAACTGGAAATCAAAGCTACGACAGACTCTTCTACATCAGCTGCTTATCTCGATCTTTTCCTACAACGAAACCAACATGGACAATGGTCCATCGAGTTTTAGGATAATCATGATAATTTCAATTTTCCTATTGTGAATTTTGCATTTCTGGAAAAGGTTTGCGTTCCTCATTCTATACAATGTAAATGTATTTGTTTAATGACTTTTGGCTTTATCAAAGGATTCAAGCTGAGATTTTGAAAGAAATTTCACTTAAAATAAAGACTTACGGTTGAAATTCCTACAATAACATAAACACAATGAAACAATAACACATACTAACACATACACGCAAGCATTAAATGTACTATTTCATACCTGTAATTATTTTCGTTTAGATCACTATTTCTGCTGTAAAATATCCCTGGTGAGACCCTTCATTAAATGTGTTATTCTCATCCTACAATTGCAATACTGTAGGACTAGTCTTCATTCCAACATCAGTACAACTAGTATGTAATGAAAAGTAAAGAGACATTCAAAGTAAACAAAATCCGACGGTTTTTTATGTCAGTAATGATATCTGGAAAGAGTTATCGCCCCTAGAAACAATTTAAATTTGAACATACACCGCAGTCCTCCCGTTAATGATACAAGATTAGCAGGACAATACTATTGTTACTGGATAGCTCTCATCAGGTAGATACTGTAACATAACATTAAACCGACAGGAAAGAAACAGGTACATTAACACTGACAGAGAGGTGACAGAGAGGTAACACTGACAGAGTGGTAACATTGACAAAGAGGTAACATTGACAGATAGGTAATACTGACAGAGTGGTAACACTGACAAAGAGGTAACATTGACAGGGAGGTAACACTGACAGATTGGTAACACTGACAGAGTGGTAACACTGACAAAGAGGTAACATTGACAGAGAGGTAACACTGACAGATAGGTAACACTGACAGAGAGGTAACACTGACAGAGTGGTAACATTGACAAAGAGGTAACATTGACAGAGAGGTAACACTGACAGAGAGGTAACACTGACAGATTGGTAACACTGACAAAGAGGTAACACTGACAGAGAGGTAAGACTGACAGATAGGTAACACTGACAAAGAGGTAACATTGACAGAGAGGTAACACTGACAGATAGGTAATACTGACAGAGTTTTAACACTGACAAAGAGGTAACACTGACAGATAGGTAATACTGACAAAGAGGTAACATTGACAGGGAGGTAACATTGACAGATTGGTAACACTGACAGAGTGGTAACACTGACAGAGAGGTAACACTGACAGGGTGGTAACACTGACAGAGTGGTAACACTGACAGGGAGGTAACACTGACAGAGTGGTAACACTGACAGAGTGGTAACACTGACAGAGAGGTAACACTGACAGAGAGGTAACACTGACAGAGAGGTAACACTGACAGAGTGGTAACACTGACAAAAAAAAAAAAGCAAAATTACCGAAGCCGCAACCCTAAACAGTTATTTATCTCATGGCAAGTTATATGCAAAATGTTCTTTTAAGCAGTTTTGCAAATGTTATATGTTAAACGCACGTGTTTTCTGTGATTTGTGTTATTTGCCTTTTCACTGTGTTTTTAAATAATTGTTTCTGTATATCAATCATAAGATATTGACAATACAGACAACCTGGCAATATTTGAAAACATCTGAATCTCTGTAAATTTCAACGCGTAGACCGATAGTGTTTGCGATAACTATGTATTTGATGTGTACTATGGTGTTAATTTGCCTGTATAGTGAGGTAGGATAATTACTACGTTAAACCTGTATCTTCCTCTTATTATCTCTCGTGTGCCCACACCCTATATTGTTTTGCTGGAGCCATTTATTGAAATACTGCAGCAATTGTGACAGAGTGTTCTAAATGATTCCATAGAATCAGACAGTGACGCATTACTACACGTGATCGATATCAGGACTATTTTTCTGTATTGATGATAATCTCCTCATTGTTAGACAAAGCTGGGTAGGTAATTATATAAATCAGTTGTCGGTTTCTTGTTGTTTCCCATCCATCGACGGAAAGAAAAGGCAAACGGCGTGCTCTCGCGCGTGTTTTGGAATTGTTCAGAGGCAACACGGAATGAAATTAAATGGTATTTTGCGCCGATTCATATCATAATTTTAACGGAGCTCCAAGAAAGGCCCTTGTTGATCAGCAAATCTTTTGAGATATACACTACTTTAACGCACTTTATGGTAAGGCGACCAATGTGGGCACGTATGGTTCTTAATCTAATTTAATTTAATTCCATACGTGTTTGAAGGTCCATCCAAAGTTAAGGGGACTGTTCCCTAACACAGAAATGACATATTTATTGAGGAGCTTCCATAGCGTTGACCAACAAATGAACGTACCCACGGGTGAAGACCTGAAGCGTGTGAACGTACCCACGGGTGAAGACCTGAAGCGTGTGAACGTACCCACGGGTGAAGACCTGAAGCGTGTGAACGTACCAACGGGTGCAGACCTGAAGCGTGTGAACGTACCCACGGGTGAAGACCTGAAGCGTGTGAACGTACCCACGGGTGAAGACCTGAAGCGTGTGACCGTACCCACGGGTGAAGACCCGAAGCGTGTGAACGTACACACGGGTGAAGACCTGAAGCGCGTGACTCGAATCTCCCTAGTCATGGTGGTTTGTGTTTCACAGGAAGCTGTGAAATAAGCAAGTCCGTGTCTTTGTCGTTTTGTCTTTGGGCAAGACTATTTACTCTCATTTTTTTAATAGCATGTGACGTGCCTCCCGCTTGTTGTTCAGTGAGGTAGTTGCCATCTGCTCCAAGAGTTTATTATAGGTCTTTGAGTAGCCTTTCATTATTGAATCATACCAATGAGACAGTTTACATACATTCCAGTATTTTCAGTCATCAGGTATGTTGATGCCAGCCATACTGGCCATGATATTCCTGCACCATTTTACGTCGCTTTTATTATAGAAAGATAGTTTTTGCTGATATACATCCCTTATTAGGTACCGCACACGTCCCTGGTGTGGCGGATTTCTGTGACAGACCATGCTTCAAAAGTTTGTCGAATTGTATCCTTACCGTCCTGAACATCCAATTAACGGCGTTTTACAGCGCGTGTCCAGCACACGTGCAGCTCTAATAAAAGAGACGGAAATCCCAAAGGGAGGTGTTGGTTCAATTAGGGATTTCCTTGCACACCTGAAGGTTCTAACGTTCAGACAGTAATGTTACTCACTAAGGTTTCCGTGTGGGATTCGCACGCGCGACAAGGCATGGCGATTGAAGGCCCAGAGCTACAACAGAGTGATGAAGGCGTTCGCCTGGTCGATGGTGTGTGTCAATAACACTCAGCCTATGTAACAACATAATCTAATACATCTCCCGTACTTCCTGTTGGTCCCCACATGGCCAGGCGACCAGACAGATCAAACGTCAAGACAGTTGACTAGTGCAGAATCCCGTCCCTGTATACACCTGAACGCCATCGATGACTGGGAGTGGCATAAACGAGGGTATCTACCCGGAGGTCAACAGGTCACATAAGATTATACTAGTGCTAATGAGGAATAATGGAACACACTGGATTTAACTGTTTACAATGTTGACAATTCGTTGTGAAGTGTTTATCGTTTGCATGAATACAATACCGTCATCATGATAGACCAGGAGGTTTATCTGACTACTTCGAAAACACCATAGTGACTGTAACAGGTTGGGAGCCCTATTGTGATACATATATTTGATACAAATTTCCATTTGTTCTGTAATGTTAGTCAAGATAACGACAATCATATGGTTTAATAGTGACATGAGCTAAGACAGAATGTCATTTCTGTCAAGTATCGGTTCCAGAACAAGGGCTATCAGATCGGTGTATCTCCATTCTGGAAGACTAGGTCGATACACCAGGGGAACGAAGGAGTTATTGCTACCAGAGGTAAAGTGAAGTGTTTGTTGTATCAAACAAGGGTGTGGGTGGTGGTGTGTCGTGTTCTGTATGTACATGTACCTTACCAAACAAGGGTGAGGGTGGTGGTGTGTCGTGTTCTGTATGTACATGTACCTTACCAAACAAGGGTGAGGGTGGTGGTATGCCGTGTTCTGTATGTACATGTACCTTACCAAACAAGTTTGAGGGTGGTGGTATGTCGTGTTCTATATGTACATGTACCTTACCAAACAAGGGTGTGGGTGGTGGTGTGTCGTGTTCTGTATGTACATGTACCGTACCAAACAAGAGTGATGAGGGTCGTATGTCGTGTTCTGTATGTACATGTACCGCACCAAACAAGGGTGTGGGTGGTGGTATGTCTTGTTCTGTAAGTACATGTACCGTACTTAACAAGGGTGATGGGGGTCGTATGTCGTGTTCTGTATGTACATGTACCGTACCAAACAAGGGTGAGGGTGGTCGTATGTCTTGTTCTGTGTGTACATGTACCTTACCAAACAAGGGTGATGGGGGTCGTATGTCTTGTTCTGTATGTACATGTACCGTACTTAACAAGGGTGAGGGTGGTGGTATGTCTTGTTCTGTATGTACATGTACCGTACCAAACAAGAGTGAAGTGAGGGATTGTTTATGTATGTCTGGTCAGCATGTACCGTACAAGGGCGAGGGTATATACAAAACAAGGGTGAGGGTGTGAGACTTGTTCTGTATATACAAAACAAGGTTGAGGGTGGCGGATGGATCAAGGATGAGAATAAAGGGGTGTGTGGTATGGCTTGTTCTGTATATACAAAAGGTTGAGGGTGGCGGATGGATCAATGATGAGAATAAAGGGGTGTGTGGTATGGCTTGTTCTGTATATACAAAAGGTTGAGGGTGGCGGATGGATCAAGGATGAGAATAAATGGGTGTGTGGTATGGCTTGTTCTGTATATACAAAAGGTTGAGGGTGGCGGATGGATCAAGGATGAGAATAAAGGGGTGTGTGGTATGGCTTGTTCTGTATATACAAAAGGTTGAGGGTGACGGATGGATCAAGGATGAGAATAAAGGGGTGTGTGGTATGGCTTATGTAGGTCGTTTGTCTGTATGCACCAAATCGTGTTTTGTGTTTAGAAATGTATTAAACAAACGAGACAGAGGGTTTTGGGTAGTGTTGGATCTGTAAATGCCAGCCGACATTTTTGTTGTATGTCAATTTGTATCTGTACGATGGAGTATCCGAATTATTGAGCCCTTGGTCAGTGCTATCTGAGAAGTTGATTGTCCGAAACTACTACATACACCAGTATGGAGGATAACCAGCATTATACCATGTTAAATAGAACCGATGTTCATCATACAGTGCAGATGTTTTTCACAACAGTCTCCATCACAGCTGTGTAAACCAATAGGCTCTGGTCGTTAATGATATCTAAACTGCCTGCTTAATCTTCGTGTTCACCGTGTCTTGATAAATAAAATAAATACCAAAGCAGGCAGTTTTAGGCAGGCAAAACGTGCTACCATTACACTTTCTGTTGCAAGCATGAAAATCGATGTTCCGTGCTGATTTTGTTGAATTCTGTACAAAGATGCCTTTGGGTGTGAGAAATAAAACGCTTGGTTTATCAAACAGACTGGAGTGTAACACGAATGTTAGCTTTACATGTGTTACCGACTTATAGATAATTTTTGATAAAATCTTGATATTAAATCCGCACAACAATGGCGATACCTTCAATGGTTTTTAATTCATTAAACTATAGACGGATAATTTTGTATTACATTTGCCTGGGGGCTTGTCTTGCATGACATCATTGATCATGTTTTTTGGAAAATGAAACCATTTTATTGACATGTGAAAAACACCTTCAATTAGTTTCCTCTACGTCAGATGTAATTCGAATCAAACGTGTTAATAGGTATGTTCATATTTCGCACGTAGTGCAGAGTTAAATGGATCAGTTACATATTTAGTGTATTTGCGATGAATAAATATGATATTGTATCAACGTACATTATGTACAAAATTCAGGTACTCTTGGAACAATCTGAATCGCAAAATTTCTCCAGAAATAATTATTGATCTACAAGCCTGAAATTGTAAGTATTTTGTGATTTCTCCTCTATTGCACTTCGTAATCCTTGTACATTCATAACACAACGAATGACAATCTTGTCCAGAGATATCTAAAATTATTCTGATCCGAGTTCTCTCTCAAAGCAAACATTTTCTTGTCAGCTTCAATATCTGTCCCGATTACATCATTTAATATGACTTGTGACAAGTTATATCTAACATTCCAGCCAAGTATGATCCGACAAATGCAAACTCATGGTCCACAGACACTAATGGAATCAGGTTGGTCTCAGATGCACTCTCCTATTTATCAGATGTCGCGTTGAATATCACTTCATTGTTAAAAAAGAAGTTGTACAAATTCGTGTAAATAAAAGGCTTTTGGATACACAGACTACACTCCAATTCGGTCACAGTTCGTCCCGTTCTGTTGACTACATGACTGACAAAGTATATTTCTTCAGTGCTTGTAACAATATCCATGCGTCCATTTGTAGGAATAACAATATTTATTATGAATGTTCTTAAAATGTGCCATTAATTGCCTAATGGAGCATGTTTTATCCCGTACTTGTCGCCAACCACTCCCCAGCATTAACCCATAGAATGAGTGAATGAGTCGGTACAAGACATACTCAGCCAAACAATCCCCATCATTATACCATAGAATGAGTGAATGAGTCGGTACAAAACATACTCAGCCAAACAATCCCCAGCATTATACCATAGAATGAGTAAATGAGTCGGTACAAAACATACTCAGCCAAACAATTCCCAGCATTATACCATAGAATGAGTGAATGAGTCGGTACAAAACATATCAGCCAAACAATCCCCAGCATTATACCATAGAATGAGTAAATGAGTCGGTACAAAACATACTCAGCCAAACAATCCCCAGCATTATACCATAGAATGAGTAAATGAGTCGGTACAAGACATACTCAGCCAAACAATTCCCAGCATTATACCATAGAATGAGTAAATGAGTCGGTACAAGACATACTCAGCCAAACAATTCCCAGCATTATACCATAGAATGAGTAAATGAGTCGGTACAAGACATACTCAGCCAAACAATCCCCAGCATTATACCATAGAATGAGTGAATGAGTCGGTACAAAACATACTCAGCCAAACAATCCCCAGCATTATACCATAGAATGAGTTAATGAAGCATTTTACCATAGAATGAGTGAATGAGTCGGTACAAAACATACTCAGCCAAACAATCCCCAGCATTATACCATAGAATGAGTGAATGAGTCGGTACAAAACATACTCAGCCAAACAATCCCCAGCATTATACCATAGAATGAGTGAATGAGTCGGTACAAAACATACTCAGCCAAACAATCCCCAGCATTATACCATAGAATGAGTGAATGAGTCGGTACAAAACATACTCAGCCAAACAATCCCAGCATTATACCATAGAATGAGTAAATGAGTCGGTACAAGACATACTCAGCCAAACAATCCCCAGCATTATACCATAGAATGAGTGAATGAGTCAGTACTAAACATACTCAGCCAAACAATCCCCAGCATTTTACCATAGATTGAGTGAATGAGTCGGTACAAGACATACTCAGCCAAACAATCCCCAGCATTATACCATAGAATGAGTGAATGAGTCGGTACAAAACATACTCAGCCAAACAATCCCCAGCATTTTACCATAGAATGAGTGAATGAGTCGGTACAAAACATACTCAGCCAAACAATCCCCAGCATTATACCATAGAATGAGTGAATGAGTCGGTACAAAACATACTCAGCCAAACAATCCCCGGCATTATACCATAGAATGAGTGAATGAGTCAGTACAAGACATACTCAGCCAAACAATCCCCAGCATTTTACCATAGATTGAGTGAATGAGTCAGTACAAAACATACTCAGCCAAACAATCCCCAGCATTTTACCATAGATTGAGTGAATGAGTCGGTACAAAACATACTCAGCCAAACAATCCCCAGCATTATACCATAGATTGAGTGAATGAGTCGGTACAAATGATTCCCTTATAACGAGTATTTTCTTCTCGCGTTTAAAGCAGTCCGTTTTGAAGTCTTATGTAATATCTCTAATTTAAAGCCAAGAGAGTTTCACAATCATATGAGATAACACAATATCGCTATTGTGACTGATATCATAGTAATCAATGGCAAGGCACTGATACCACATGCATCATCACAAAGGGTGTACAACGATTGATCAAACTCCCGAAAAGACTGTGGTCTGTGGTCTCCGGACGCTGTCCTCTGAAGCGCGTTTAGTTATTTTAGATTAAGGTGATCAGCTTGTATACCTCTTCAGTATACCAATCTCGAGCATGTCATTGCCCCGAGTCATTTATTTCCTTAAAACCGATATTGAAAATATGACACGAGCACCATGACTTTTTAAAAAAATCCAATATCAACTACACCGTCCTCGTCTAAGGTCTTAGAATATATAGTAACCATGACAACAAGCAATTGGTAAATTCCACTAGGCTGAGACGATCCTCGATACGTTCTTAATTGTGCTAGATGGTATCGTTGCTGTTTTACATAACAAACTGATTCCCTACTGGCCCCGTCAACTGTATTTGACGTACAATAAAATCGCCCAGATTGACTTGTTGATCTTAAAGGGATATTGCTATTGTTTCAAAATCGATCGGAGAATGTTGGCGATGACGTCGCAGCAGCAGCAGACTTTTATGAACATGTTATACCTTCTTCTATTTCTACAGTTTAATTTGTTGACATGTAGATATTTTCGTTGTTGGTTTGAAGGCTTGTCAGACAGGAACACGTATACGCCAAATGCACGAGTTTTGTTGACCTTTCCATAGTTCGCACAGACATAAAAAATCTCATTAAAATGAAGTCAATACTGTTGGTGTGTCTCAGTGTAACTTGCTACTGATGCA